ATAGGCAGAAATCCCTTGGACATTACACTTAGCAACATATTTATGGTATGTCTCCTCAGGAAAGGGAAATGAAAGCAAAAATAAACTATTGGGACCACACCAAAATGAAAAAAAAAATATTTGTACAACAGAGGAAGACATCAAGATGAAAAGGCAACGTACTAATTGGGAGAAGATATTTGCAAATGCTATACCCAGTAAGGGTTAGTATCCAAAATATATAAAGTACTCATGCAACTCAACACCAAAAAAAAAAAAATAGAAAAAAAAATCCGATTTTAAAATGCGCAGAGGACCTGAATAGACATTTTTCCGAAGAAGACATCAGATGGCCAACAGACACATGAAAAGATGGTCAGCGTCCCTATCATCAGGACATGCAAATCAGGACTACAGTGAGATACCACCTCACACTAGTCAGAATGGCCATTGTCAAAAAGATAAGAAATAAGTGTGGATAAGGATATGGAGGAAAGGGACCCCTCATCCACTTGGTGGAAATGTAAACTGGTGCAGCTACTGTGGAAAACAATATGGAGGTTCCTCAAAAATTTTAAAATAGAAATACCATAAGATCCAGTAATTCCACTGCTGGGGATTTACCCAAAGAAAATGAAACCACTAATTCAAAAAGATATATACACCCCTATGTTTATCACAGCATTATTTACAATAGCCAGGATACGGAAGCAACCCAAGTGTCCATTAATAAATGAGTGGATAGAGAAGATGTGAGTATATATAAGTGAAATAAATCAGAGAAGGGCAAATGTGGTATGATTTCACTTATATGTGTAATCTAAAAAACGAAACAAATTAACAAACGAAAAACAAAAAAATGCCCATAAATACAGAGAACAAACTGGTGGTTTGCAGAGGGGAGCTGAAGGGTAGGATGGGTGAAATGGGTGAAGGGAATCAAAAGGTACAAACTTCCAGTTATAAAGTAATTCATGGCAATGAAAAGTACAGCAGAGGGAGTATGGTCAGTAATTTTGTAATAATCTTGTAGTAACCACATTTATCATGGTGCTTATTGAGTGATGTGTATAGAATTGTTGAATCACTATGGTGTACACCTGAAACTAATATGACTCTGTATGAAACTATACTTCAATAATGCAAAAACAAAAAAGAAAAAGCAATATACGTATCTTAATTTAAAAATACTTTATTGCTAAAAATTGCTGTCATCTGAGCTTTAGTGAGTCATAGTCAATGATCACAGATTACACCGCAAATATAATAAGACTTAAAAAGTGGAACTATTGCAAGAATGATCGAAATCTGACCCAGAGACAAGAAGTGAGCAAATGTTGTTGGAAAAATGGAACCCAGAGACTTGCTAGACACAGGGTTGCCCCAGACCTTCAATTTGTAAAAAACGCAGTCTCTCTAAAGTGCAGCACAACAAAGGCAATAAAATGGGGCTCAGCTGTACAGATTATTAGGGAAATAACAGACTGGTCAATGAATGGGACTGGGGCAGCTATCATGGGGGCAAAACTTAGGTTTCTATTTCCTGGCAAACAAAGATATAATTCCCTAAATGTGAAAAAGCAAAACCTTAACTCTGTTCGGAACTTTTGGGATAGAAGGATAGGATAGAAATGAATTTCTCAGAAAACACCCCAAAAGGGCAAGCAGTATAAGAAAGGACTGATGAATTTTAACCATGTCAGAATTAAAAACCTCAGTGTGACAAAATGAAAATGATAATTTTATTGCTTTACATCCATCGGAATTGCAAAATTTCAGATGCCTTGTGGCAGTTAGTGTTAACATGTTTATAAAGAAATGAGAATATTTTACGCAGTACTAAGTAAAGTCAAAGCTGATTTTCAAAAACTCTCTTGCCAGGGCAGAAGAGTGCACAGTGTATAAGAGTGTATTATACACTAGTGGAGATGCAAAGCTCAAGTGGGTGAGGGTGGGCTTGCTGCACAGGTGGGAGATTAGTCACAGGAGGGAATTAGAAGTGTGGAAAGAGACAAAACTAGAATAAGCCCTGTGATCTTGGATTGAAGTTATTTATGTGTGCATGAACTCAGTTGTCACAGGTAGGTAGGTAGGTAGGTAGCGAGCTAGTGGATTGATAAATGGATGATGATGATAGAGAGGTAGATGATAGGTAGGTAGGTGGATAGATGGATGGATGGATGGATGGATGGATGGATGGATGGATGGACAGATTCCTACCTGTAGACTGGTATACAAGTTTATTTTTCTCCAATAAAAGGGCTTGGAATAGTAATACTCCAATAGCAGTGAGCACACCTAACATTCAGAGGTAGGTGCCTCGGTGCCTCCCAATGGCATTCTAAATGCCATTCTCCACTAAAAGCGATTGGTGTCCTTGGAAGAGATGGCTGACAGCAGGGCTGGGGCAATACCATACAGATGAGCCGGTGCATCTTGTTCTGCCAGATAGAAAGAAGGTGTTGCAGGCATGATGAAGACATGTCAGGACACAGTGGCAAAGAAAGGACTCACGTAGACCATATCTGTGACCATTTGAACATCAGAATAAATAATGACACTAGTGGATTATAAGCCATTGGATAAAAGAGGAAATCATGAGCCTGTACAGATATAAATAAACTGAAAGGTGGGTGAGAAACTGGGTACTTAAATGGTTTCAGAGTACCTCTCTACGAAACACTTATGAATCACAGAGGAAAAGAGAGGCCTGGAAAATCCTACCTTAGCACAATGGTCAGAGCAAACACCCTGCCTGGTGGGGTGCAGTGAGAGAGCCACAGCATCGCTTCTGTGATGGTCTCGCCTGTGACGCATGACCTGCATAAATCCCCGAGGAAACTTTTCTTTCTCTTTCTTTCTTTCTTTCTTTCTTTCTTTCTTTCTTTCTTTCTTTCTTTCTTTCTTTCTTTCTTTCTTTCTTTCTTTCCTTTCTTTTTAATGAGCATTCTACTCTACATGGGACTGTGGCTTTTGAGAGTTTCAAGGTCACAAAATCAAACAAAGACTAAGGAACTGTTGCAGATGGGAAGAGACTGAAGAGGGGTGACAAGGGCAGGCAAAGCAGCATTTTGAACCAGGTCCTCTTGCTGTGATGGACGCCACAGGGACAGCAGGTGAAACCTGAATGGGGCCCTTGGTTCAGGAGGTAGTAATGCGTCGCCACAAGGGACGATGGCTGTGCTGTGTATGTGTACACACATGTAAGAGAATATTCTTAACTGTGAGGAATACACTCTGAAGTATTTGAGGGGATGGGAAATCAGGTGGCAGCCCTCAGTCGTCTAGGAAAAATAAATTCACACTGTCCCTGCAAAGTTTCCATGAAAGCTGTGACTGTTCCCAAAAAATGGAACCATTCTGTTGCCAAAGTTTTACATCGAAAATACACACATATCCTATGAAAAGTTAACTTTATAAATTAGGAGCAGTAAGAGATTAGCAACAATAAGTAATAACAGAATTGGACAGTTGTTACGATGTGCTGTGATAAGTTACGTGAGTGGCCTCTCTCTCTCCCGGAAAAATTCTCCGTACTATACTCGCCCTTCTCCTTGTCATGGTACGAGCTCGTGAAGCGCCTGTGTGCTGAGGCGAACGAGGTGAATGACGTAGGCACTGTGACACGGTGTTAGGGGACTACTGACCCGAGCGTATGTCAGAGGAGGGTCTTCTGCTTCTAGACCCTGGTTGCTGCAGATAACAAAAACCATGGACTGGGGGTGCGGGGGGGGGACTACCGTGGGAGCAGCAAGGATGATCAGGCTCGTTATGACAAAGAAATGGTAGTCATGAAAAATGGCCAAATGCCCATCAAAAGGAGCAGGTTTCTGTAACGCTGAGTACATGGGTATGGTACGCAGCAGTCAGCACGAATGGAGTGTCCGCGTGACTGGTCGTAGAACGAGAGGGGTGCTGTTCGCGGGAGTGTTTGAAACAAGCCAAGCGATCCCCGCCCTTGAAGGACACATGCATGTGACACAGCGGATAAGAAGGTGGCCCGAAGAGTGCACACCTCCTCCGATGGCCAGTGACCTCCCGGGAGGAGGGAGAAGGTGGTCACATGCGTACCGGACTCCCACTTACATCTTAACTTCTCTTATCTGACACAAGGCTGCCACTGTTTTACTAAATCTGTGAGTAGTGGCCGTGTGGATTTGTGATAGGTTATTCCTCTGTGATGCAAATATTTTCATTATGAAAAGTTTAAAACAGGACCATAAAATAAAATTGTTCTCAGAAGTTCAGAAGCTCTGGACAGAATTTGCAGATAAGGTCTGGCCTGGCGACAAGCCACAATGAAGCTTTCCCAAAGACGCACGGCTCCCCTCCCAGCACGTGGCCGGCCCCCAGGATTCCACAGCGACAGCAGAGCCCCTGCCCGGATTACCGAGGTGACGGAGATGCAGAGCAGGAGCGAGTGAGCTGAGAGACACCGAACCCTTTAACCTCTGGAGGAAAGATTTCCTTTTGCAGAGAATCGCAGTCTCTGATTAACAGGAAGGAAGGGCCAAGGAAGAGTTGTTTTACGCCCCATTAGAAGATAAGAAAATACCTCAAATTTTAACGAGCGACGTCACAAGGATATTTTTCTACCTTGCTAATTATACATAACACCAGACGTGATGTTACGATGTGATAGGTTTCCGCTACGTGGTGACCCCTGATGCTAACACAGCAGTGCGAGCAGCCAGAGCGTTGCCCTTCGGCACTGTGTCCCCTTGCGGCTGGCACCACCGCCGTACCAGCCATCCCATACTTACGGCCCTGACTGCGTCGTCTGCTCCATTAAACCCGACCTTCAGAGTAGACCCCGTCCTGAAGCCTGTTCTCCCAGAGCCGGCCGAAGCTCTGTCATCGGCACTGCTTTTCGGGAGGGGCGTGCTCACCTGGGTCTGTCATCTCTGACCCCTGAGACTCCCTGATGGACTCCGCCAGCCCAGCAGGGTGTTTGGTGAGGAGAGAAACGCCCCTCTGTTACGCGTGAAGGGCTTGTGAGCAGAGCAACCCTGGGGAGGCACCTTAACTGGGGCGGCTTCGTCTGCACTGTGTGAGGACGGAGATGTGGACCTGGAACTGATGTAGAACTGGATCTTGAGGTTCTGTTCAAATATGTTCTCAGCTGGGTCTGTCTAGAAAAACAAGTTAGGGGAAACAAAATTCCAGAGATCATTGTATAGAACACATTTTTAAAAAATGTTTATTTTTGAGAGAGAGAGAGGAGAGACAGAGTGCAAGCAGGGGAGGGGCAGAGAGAGAGGGAGACACAAATCCAAAGCAGGCTCCAGGCTCTGAGCTGAGGCTTGAACTTGGGAACAGCAAGGTCGTGGCCTGAGCTGAAGTCAGACACCTGACTGACTGAGCCACCCATGTACCCCTAGGACACATGGTTCTTAATGTAAGTCATGAATGTTAGGATATTTCTCTGTAAGAAACCATACTGTGAGCATTTTTGTTAGAAGTATCCCAGCAGAGAAGGCAGGTTCCAGAAGGCCGCAGTGCAGAGCAGTCGCCTCCAGCACACCACTGAGCGCGGCTCACCCCTTCCACTGAAAGCGCCAGGACCCACAAGAAGGTGAGCAGGCACATTCTAGGCAGAGAGGGTATTTGAGAAACGAACTCGAAGCTCAAGAGACGAATTCTGTCCCTGAGAGTACCCGACGAAGGTTCCGGCACTTTGGCATGTTGATTATTTTGAATTAAAGTTACTTGAGCAACAGTCAGTGCAAGGAGGGCACTCTGACCCTCCTCTGTCTTCCTAAAAGCAGGCGATAAATCTCCCCCGTGAAAGGTGTCCTCCCCGTACCAGAGGCGGAAGACATTCCTCTCACCAGAGATCTGGGGTATTTGGGGCCAGGAAGGCTGTACGCACAAACCTAGTTTAACGAGCCCACATCTTCCCAGTTACTACTTCAGCTTTCAGTGCCCGAAGCCCAAACCCTTTATTGGCCTGTGATTTGTTTCTTTGTTTAAACTGTATAAAAACTTCCTGCACTAGTCACTTCTCCTGCGAAGACTCCCTCATACAAGTCAAAATTCAGTTAAAATCTGTATGTTTTTCTCTTGTTAATCTCTTATGTCAGTTTAATTCCCACCCAGCCCCAGACCCAGAGAGGTGGGGGGAGAATTGTTCCTCCCACCCACTGCATTGGGCATGAAATGAAAAGTAAAAGAAGTGAATCAAACTTGTAACTTATGGTACAAACCCAAGCCCCTATTTACTTAACAGCAGAGAAACACTGGCACGCAGGGTCGGCATCTTGTATGTTAAGAAATGTTTAAAATGGGGGCGCCTGGGTGGCTCAGTCGGTTAAGCGTCCGACTTCAGCTCAGGTCATGATCTCGCGGTTCGTGGGTTCGAGCCCCATGTCGGGCTCTGTGCTGACAGCTAGCTCAGAGCCTAGAGCCTGTTTCCGATTCTGTGCCTCTCTCTCTCTCTGATCCTCCCCTGCTCATGCTGTCTCTATCTCTCTCTCAAAAATAAATAAAATATTAAAAAAAAAGAAATGTTTAAAATGTTCTTTAGACGATCACATAATCCATAGTTTAGGGGCACCTGGGCGGCGCAGTCGGTAAGCATCTGGTTCTTGGTTTCTGCTCAGGTCATGATCTCTCTCTCTCTCTCTGCTCTTCCCCTGCTTACTCTCTCTTTCTCAAAATAAATAAACTTTTAAAAATATGTAATTTAGTGATTTCCAAAATTATAAAATGTCTTGAGTGAAATGCAGCTGCAGGGTGTTTCTGTGTGGAAGAGGGTGGGTCAGAAGACAGGGGGGACCTGTAGGCAGCCTCGGAGTCACACACACAAACACACACACACGCACACACACACGCACACACGCACACACACACATGCACACACATGGTGGTTTATGTGGTATCTGGGACTAAAAACACTGTGTTCTGCTATTTTCATACACTTAAAATTTAATATTGTCAGAAAGAAACATATCTAAAATGGAGTCACTCACGTCAAGCCCCACCAAGGCTTCACACCTAATCCAGTTTCAGCCACTCCCAGGAGTGGAAATGAAGCCAGTCAGTCTGGAATTTCTACTCCTCTAGTGAGGAAATCTGCTGATAAGACCCCAGCTCTCCCTCCTCCTCCTCCGGAAAGAAGACCTTGCCTGAGATAACCCTGTCTTTTCTTTTGCTAATAACATTCTTGTCCCACCTGCTCCTGTGCATAAAAGCCTTCCATTCAGAGCTCTCTTCTGTTTGTTGAATGGGATTCACAAGTTGTTGAACGGGGCCAATTGGATCTTTACATTTATTCTGTTGAGCCTTTACAATACACATAAAATTATGCTGGTGGTGGTCGTGGTGGCGATGGTGACCGTAACTGGGGATTTCGGGGTTTGGGGGAGCTGGGAGACGTCACAGAAAGGCTTACGTGGCCCGAGCTGCCCTTAGTCTTCGAGCCTTCACTGATGAAAACAAAAACAAAAACAAGCAAACAAAACCCTAAGACTTTGTATGAGCACATTCTTGGGCCAAGAGGACAAACTCTGTAGATTCAGGCCAGATAATTAGGAGCAGAAACAATTGATGTGCGAAACAAAACTCTCTGGCTTAGTAAGTTCCTTCCTAAACTTGTTTTCAGTTCAAGGCAGCATCAGCTACGTGCCTTACATCCTCAAACGCCCTGGTTTTTCCCTCAGGTTGGGGCCAGTATCTTTCATTGTTCATTCATGTGACCGCTGTTGTGAAATACAACACACTACTCATGTGACATTTGATCAGTGCTTTTTTTTGGTGTGGAGAATTTAAAAGTCTGCTTTTGGATTCATTCCCATATTTAATTCCGTTTTCTAGGTGGCTGATATTTAAGAAGTCAGCAAGGCTCCCAACAAAGTCATTAAGCCTAATGCTGAAGGTTGGAACTCAAAAGCCAGCACTGCCTGCCCGTCACTACTATAATCGATGGATGTGTTATTCCCTGGTAGGGTGTGAGCCGCCCGAGGGGGAGCCCTTGTGCTTCGGGCTTGCCCCGCCCTCACCACCTTGCCCAGTGCACGATGGAAACTCACGTCCTCCTGCGGTCCCTCATTCCACCTCCCCGCCTCTGCTCACAGTCACCTCTACTCACAGTCACATGGGTCATCCTCCTCTGCCTTGTTAGCCATTCCATTTAACACTGGTCTCCTCTCTCTCTCTGTCTCTCTCTGTCTCTCTGTCTCTCTCTGTCTCTCTCAATCTCTCGTTTCAGTGTCAGATGTAGCACACACGTGCAGGGTAAAGGGCCTAAGTCGCATCGTGTTAATTCATGAGTATAATGCACACGGCCAGGAAAGTACCACCGACATTTAAAAATGGGACATTGTGCTGGTGAGATTCATCCATGGTGTTGTGTACGGCCACAGCTTCTTCCTTTTGATTGTGTGCGGTATCTCATTATACTAAAACACCACATTTTCCTTATTTACTCCCAATTTGATCAACATTTGGGTTTGTTCCCGTTTTAGCTGTTAAGAACAATCTTATATGTGGGGAACCTGGGGGGCTCAGTCAGTTGAGCATCTGACTCTTGGTTTCAGCTCAGGGCGTGACCTCACAGTTTTGTGGGTTCAAACCCTGCATTGAGCTCTGTGCTGACAGCCAGGAGCCTTCTTGGGCTTCTCCCTCTCTCTGCCCCTCGCCCGTTCCCACTCTGTCTCTCTCAAAAAAAAAAAAAGAGAGAGAAAGAGAACATTCTTATATGTATTTCCTGGGCGTGGATGTGCAAGATCCCTAGAGTGACCTTCTAGGAATGGACCGACAGTCTGCACTTCTCACGGCACCACTCCCTCGCCAGTCCTTGCCTTGCCGGGTTTTTATCTCAAGCATTTCAGTAACTGTGTAGTGCTGTGCTGTCTCATGAGGCTTGGGGCTTCTAGTATGCTTATTGTCTATTTGTCTATTTGGATTTCCTCTTGATGAATTGCCTGTTAAGTTTCTTGCCACTCCCTCCTGAGTTGACTGACTTTTTCTTATTGACCTAAGGTTCTTGGTATACTCTGGATATGAGCCTTTGTTAGTTCTTGCGTCACAGGGATCTTTCTCCACTGTGAGGCTCATGTTTTAATAACCTTCTCCCACTGCTCTCAGTGCAGCTTTATAATAAGTATCCATAGATGCCTCTTTTTCTGGACATTATTCTGTTCTGTATGTCTTTGTCTCTGTGCATTTGCCGATACCATACTCTTTTAATTACTGTAGTATTTTTTAATGTTTTATTTATTTCTGAGAGAGAGACAGAGAGACAGAGACAGAGAGAGACAGCATGAGCAGGGAGGCTCAGAGAGAGAGGGAGACACAGAATCTGAAACAGGCTCCATGCTCTGAGCTGTCAGCACAGAGCCCGACGTGGGGCTCAGGCCCACGAACCACGAGATCATGACCTGAGTCGAAGTCGGATGCTTAACTGACTGATACCCAGGTCCCCCTAATTACTGTAGTTCTTAACGTCATGACATTTTTTGTTTTATTTTGTTTTGTTTTATTTTTTTGGAGGGAGCATGAGTGGGGGAAGGAGAGAGAGAGAGAGAGAGAGAGAGAATCCCAAGCAGGCTCTGTGCCCAGTGCAGAGCCCAACACCGAGCTTGATCCCATGACCATGAGATCATGACCTGAGGCGACATCAGGAATCTAATGCTCAACCGACTGAGCCACCCAGGTGCCCCCATCATGACATTTTATAGAGAAAGCTCAGCTAAGTTGATCTTCAAAAACATTTTTACTTTCTTGAACTTTTGCATTTCCATATATATTCCAAATTCCATGGGGGAAAAAAATTGGAATTTTTATCAAGATTATATTGAATCCTGCTATATTCAATTGAATCTTCAATCTTGATAGAATGCTAGTTGAACCGATTTTAATTAGTTAAAGGATAATTGAGATCTTTATAGTATCAAGGCATTTCATCTAGGAATATAGTGTTACTCTCTTTCATTTAGGCCTTTTTAAATGTCCCTCTTTACAATTTAATATTTCTCCCTAGAGGTTTTTTTAGCTACTATTAGATTTATTTCTAAATACTTGATTTCTTATCCTATTGTTAGTGATGTCTGTTATAAAAAAGGTAATTAAATTTCTCAATAGTATATAGAAATCCATTTGGTTTCTGTATATTGACAGGGTAGTCTTACTA